TAAGGAGCCTGGCCTCTGGCCACTCAAGCTGCAGCCCTTGCCATCCTCTGGACTCCTCCTCCCAGGGCAGGGGCACTCTAAGGGGTGGCCCACCAGCCCCACTGCTTCTCTCTGTCCCTGTGGGAAGCTGGAGAAAATTTCTCCCGTTGCCATATAAGGCCGGGCCTGGCTGGTCTGGGGTCACCCACCATGCCATCAGGGCGTGGGGAATGTCAGCTATGTGGGGGGAGTGGGAGGCTGGGCCGGCTCTGACCGCTCCAGCAGCTCTGAGAATGCTCGCGCGCGTGCGCGCGCGCACACACACACACACACACACACACACACATCACACAGGCATGGGGGTGGGAGTGGGCACTGGCAGAGGAGACCCAGCCAAGCTTAGAGGTTGAGAGAATGGGCTGGGTGAGAGTTGTGGCTGTCAAAACCCAGGCAATTTAAGCAGCCCCTCTGAGCCTCGTTTTCTGTAAAATGAGAATAACAGTACCTACCTCACAGGGTTAGACTGAGGATTCAAAGGGAGAATGCCCACAGCGTGCTTGGCACAGTGCCTGGCATCCACCAGGTGCTCATAAAACAAAGACCAAAGTGAAGCAAGCAAAGGGTGCATTTCCATACAGCTCCTCCCTGTGCCCTTGCTCCCCAGCAGCCCCGCTCCAGTGGGGCAGTGAAGCTGCACCCCAAAGGAAGGCAGTCTGTGTTGTGGTTGTTGTGTGCCACTGAGTCAACTTCGACTCATAGCGACCCTGTAGGACAGAGTAGAACTGCCCTATAGGGTTTCCTAAGCTGAAGTCTTTACAGGAGCAGATCGCCAGGTTTTTTCTCCCGTGGAGCTACTGGTGGGTTCCAGACGCAGACGGTAGGCAGCCAAGCACTTAACCCTTGTACTACCAGCCTCCTTCCGGGACCTGGAGGTCTTCCCAAGTCTCCTTCTATTTTTACTCTTGAGTTCCTTATAATAACAATAGCTGAGGCGGAGCTGTCCTCTGGAAGCTGGCGGGCCCCAGGGGAGGAGAAAGGCCCCAAGGGAACTGGGGTGCTGGCCCAGAAAAGCCCCCAGAGCTGCCAGCCAAGCCAGGCTCTGCCCCAGGCAGCAGCCACAGCACTGCCCCAGCTGCCAGGCACAGTAGCAACCATAGGCCCCCATGCAGTAGGGAGCCATGAAGCCCCATCTGGAGAGCAATGGTGCTGCCTCCACAGCCACTCAGCTCAGCCCCGGTCCCCCAGTAGCCCTGCTCCAGTGGGGCAGTGAAGCTGCACCCCAAAGGAAGGCAGTCTGAGCTGCCAACGTGGTCCCCTCTGGATATCTGCCCACCCAGGGACTCTCTGCTGTGGCCATGGCCACAGGTGAACCAGACTCGGGGCCTCAAACACAGCGCCAGCCCCACACTCTGCAAAGCGCTTCAGTCTGTTTTTCTCTATTGATTATTGTAGGAACTTGGAGAGGGGGCAGGGCAGGGATCCTGCTCCCATTTCAGGCAGGGAAGAGTAAGGCTCTGCTAGATGAAGAGGTGTGGCCCAGGTTGAGCAGCCTTTATGGGCTGAGGTTTATCTCAGGCCCCCACCTAAGCTCCAAACAAACAAATGGTAACAATCAGGATAGCTGCCAGCTCTCCTAGGTGTTTTAAATAGATTACCTGTAAATCTTTACATAGATTACATAGGTATCTTCCCTAAAAATCACAACTCAACTACTGTTATCTTTTTGGGAGAGGGAGGCTCAGAAAGGTCAAGTGGCTAACTCAAGGTCACCTAGTCAGTGAGCTCACTGCCTCCCCAACTCGTGACTCTTAGCTCTGGTGGGGCCACCTTGGTACCTGGGTGGGGGACAGCTCAAGCTGCACAAGTGATCTGGTTTGATCCTGGAGCCTCCTTCTTCCAGGCCCCCAGAACTTTGGTCCCACTAGCCCTTGGCAGCCTGGGCTCACACGGCAGTTCTCAACACAGCATCCTGGGCAGGGGAAAGGGCCAGACTGCAGGTTATGCCACTGGCTCCTGTGTGACCTTGGGGCAGCTGCTTGCCCTCTCTGGGCCTGAGACTATACCTCTTCTTGCTCTGACCAGGTGCCTTCACCTTCCCCAGTCCAAAGGCACTATCTAGATCAGCCCCTGATAGCCACAGGTGCCCTCCCTTTCCTGAGCCAAGCCAGTCCACTTCCCAGAACAATCCTGTAGCCACCCTTTTTCTGCCTCCCCAAGGGCGGTGTTGGCATGGAAAGTCCCACACACTCTCAGCTCTTCTGGCCTGTCTGACTACAGTCACCTCACTCCTTAGTCCAGCTGTCTCTGGCTCAGGGTCCTGCTGGCTGTGGGCGGATTCAGCCAGCTCAGAACTGCCTGGCCAAGTAGCCCCAGGGACTGTATGAGGTCAGGGTTCCAGGCTTCTGTCCAGAGGGCAAGAGCAGCCAAGCCTAAGGCCGAGCTGACTGCAGAGAAAACTGGGAGGGAGCCAGCAGGCCTAGACCCCTGATAGCCCTAGCTAGATATCCAGGCAACTTTTCACCTGTCCTTAAGATGGCACCAAGAGGTAGGGTGAAGATGGGGGCAAAGGGGCCCCCAGAGTCCTCCATGGTATCTCTGCAGAATGGCTGCCTTGTTCCAGGCAGTCCAAGAAAATCAAGGAGGAAATCAAGACCGCAAGCCCCTGGCAAGAGACACTACACCCTTGCCCCACCCCCTGGACCCACCTAAGCACATGAGGACTCTGCTGGCCCTTCCAGCTTCCCCTTCCAACTTCCCACACTGGGTGCCCAGGGACCCAAGGGAACCAGCAGGGGCAATGCCCAGCCTTGCTTTGGGGGAACGCCTCTGACACCAGTTAGTAAAGAACCTGGGACATGTCCCCCTCAGGAAACAACAACTCTAGTACCATCCACAGAGGTCTTCCCTTGTGCTAGGCACTGCACCAGGCACGCTACATGCCTTCTCTCATTTAGCCCTCACAGTGACCCTGGGAGAAAGGCACTGTAATATCCCCAGTCTCAGTGGGGGAAACTGGGCTATGCCATGACAGGCTTCTTGTGAAGACCACAGAACTGATAAATGATGGAGGATCTGAGCCCAGTTCTGCTGAATCCTAAAGCCACTGGCTGTGCTGCCTTTGAAGTTTGGCCAATCCAGGCAGGCCTGGACTTTTCCTTATCTTTACAATCTACATAATCATTAAGCAAGCATTTAAGGAGTACCTACTGTGTGCCTAGGTCCCTGGATGGCACAAATGGTTTGCGCACAACTACTAATCTAAAGGTGGGCGGTTTGAACCCACCCAGTGGTGCCACAGAAGAAAGGTCTGGTGATCTGCTTCCATAAAGCTCCCCATCCATTGACATCTAGAGACCCTATAGAACAGAGTAGAACTGCCCCATAGGGTTTCCAAGGCTGTAAATCTTTACAGAAGCAGACTGCCACATCTTTCTCCCACAGAGCACCTGGAGGGTTCGAACCACCTACCTTTTGATTAGCAGCCAGCCAGTGGTTAACTACTGCACCAAGAAAACCCTATGGAGCAGTTCTACTCTGTGATATATGAGGTTGTCATGAGTCGGAATCGACTGGATGGCAACAGGTTTACTGGGTGACTGGCAACAGCTGGAAGAATTTCTTCATGCAAACCCACCAGAATCAGCAATCCCTTCTAAAAACTAACAAGAAAAGCATGGTGCCCAGCTACCACCACCAACTGCTCTGACAGGGATCACAATAGAGGGTCCTGGACAGAGCTAAAGAAAAATGTAGAACAAAATTCTAATCCACACACATACACACAAAAGACCAGACTTCCCTGTCTGACAGAGACTGGAGAAACCCTGAGAGTATGGCCCCTGGACACCCTTTTTAGCTCAGTGACGAAGTTACTCCTGAGGTTCACCCTTCTGCCAAAGATTAGACAGACCCATGAAACAAAACGGGCACAGCAGCTCAGGGGCAAGGAGGAGAAGGCAGAAGGGGACAGGATAGCTGGTAATAGGGAACCCAAGGTCGAGAAGGGGAAAAAACCAAAAAAACCAAACCCACTGCAGTTGAGTCGATTCAGACTCATAGCAACCCTAAAGGACAGAGTAGAACTGCCCCTTAGAGTTTCCAAGGAGTGCCTGGTGGATTTGAACTGCCGACCTTTTATTGGCAGCTGTAGCTCTTCACTACGCCACCAGGGTTTCCAAGGAGAGAGCGTTGACATATCCTGGGGTTGGCAACCAATGTCACAAAACAATATGTGTATTAATTGTTTAATGAGAAACGAATTTGCTCTGTAAACCTTCATCTAAAGTACAATTTTAAAAAATAGTTTAAAAAAATTACATGAAAAACATCAACTTCTTAAGGAACCATTTCTATAAACTGGAGTGAAAAAATAAAGAGTTGTGTGTGGGGCAGGAGGCCAGGCATAACATCAACATTTGCCAGTGAACCAAGAGCCTTTGTTGTATGGTGGAGAGAGCACTGGCCTGGGAGTCCCGCCCTAGGTTCTAACAGCAGTCCCACAAGGACTTGCTGTGCCTCTCAGAGCAGCCATCTCACCTTTCTGGACCTCCTTTCCCTCTCTCGGCCATATTACCGGAGTCTCCTCAGAGACCTCAGGGGTCCCTTCCAGCATCAAATATCTGTGGCTGGTCCCAAGCCGGCTTCCGGGAAGTCCCGGCCTGAGCTGGCATCGGAGCTCCTCGGCCGGCCGGCTCCACCTCCCTAGTCTGAGAGTAACAACTTGCAACCAGAGACGCGGGGACCAGAGCTGGGGCGGGGTGGGGGGGAGTGGCAGGGTATCTACCTGATGTCGGAGGGGACTGGGGCAGGAGCGAAGGGACGAGATTGGGGGAAGCCCTGGGGAGGAGAGGAAGAGGGAGTTGGCTTTGCTGCAGGCACAGCCTTACAGATGGAGGTGGGACGCGCCGGGGCGGAGGGCTCGGAGCGCGCGGGCAACGGGCGGGCTACCAGCGGGCTCCGGCCGCTCGTAGGTTGTCGGCGGCCCCAGGGCGGGGGAAGCGAAGTCAGGCGCGCGCGCTTACCCGGTTGATCTCCGCCAGCCTCCTCTCTTGCCGGGCTTTGAGCATGCCGAACGCCTTCCCTCCTGAAAGAGACAAAGAGGCGGGCTGGGAAGCTGGGGGCCTCCCAGGGCTGCGCGCCCCCAGCCGGCGCCCGCTTCCCGCGCGCCGCGCACCCCGCCATCGGCCGCTGGCGCACAGGTGGTGGGCCGGAGACCCGGGCGCAGGGGCTGGGGACAGCAGGGCGGGAGGGCTGGGTAGGGGCGCGGGACAACGAGAACCACCGGGGGACAGCAGCGCGTCGCTTACCTTGGAACCTGTTGCTGACCGCGACCGACATGCTGAGCGCGGGGCTCCCGCCGGCTCGGGACTTCACGGCGGCTGCTCGGGACAAGGAGGAGGGACAGGCGCCTGGTCAGAGCTCTGGCTGCGAGTGGCGGCGGGACCGAGGGGCGGAGGGACGGCGCGGGGCTGCCGGACACACCCCCTCCCTCCCTTGTCCCGGCCCGCCTCCCCTCCCGCCCGGCCGCCGCCTGGGCCGCCGGCCTCAGAGCGGCTATTACGAGGGATGCGGAGCCCGCCCGCCGGCCCCTTTCCTGGACGATGGCGAAAATGCGTGGTGCACCGGCCTCTGTGTTTCTAGGGACGGAACTCCAGGGACCTCGGTCCAGCCTCTTCCCCTCCCTGAGCCGTGGGTTGCCCATAAATAAAACGATCTTAGTATCCACTTCAAAACGAGTCCGGGTGGCCCAACGGTTAAACGCTCGCCTGCTAACCGAAAGCTTTGCGCTTAGAACCCACCCGGTGGCTACTCAGGGGAAAGACCTGGCGACCTGCTCCCATAAAGATTACGGGCTAGAAAGTTCTGTGGGACAGTTCTGCTCTGTCACATTGGGTAGCTATGAGTCGAAATCCATTTGAGGGCACACAATAACAATAGTACCCATTTCATGAGGTCGTTGTGAGGATCAAATTCGGGCACTCAGGTAGAGAGTAAGCACTCAGCAAATGAGGCTGCTGCAACTATCATTGCTCTTTGCAGGGTATATGTGTTTAGAAGGGAGGCACGAGGATCCCAATCTTTACTGCTAACTCTTGAAAGAAAAATATATAAACATTTAGTTTTCTTTATTTGAGAACATGCCTAATGGTAACATAAGTAACTTTGACATCACTGGCACTTCAAATCTATGAGAATGAATTTATGTTTTGTTAATAAAAACTATTTATTGAGCGGTCACTATGTGCCAGGCAATTGCCATATCAGTGTAGGATACATTTGTTATGTCATTTAATTCTCAAAACTCTATGACATAGGACTCATCATTCCATTTTACGGAAAAGTCAGGAAGCTGAAGCCTGAGCCACAAGTCCACCAAGATGATAAACCAACCCTCTAACTTCAGGAAGAGTGGGGTTCAGGGTGCAGGAACCAGGGACTGGTAACTAGGGTAATCGTGTAGTCTACTGTCCAAATCAGGACATTTCTGAGAGGGAAAGGGGCCACAGTCATAGACCTGACTGTCCTGGGCAAATGGGACACCAGGTCACTAGCAATGGTCCTGCCACATACTCTAAGCCTCCATGTCTCTGGGGACTGGATCCAGAAGTCTGCACAAACTCTCCATTTGACCCCCTAGGATTGAGATCTTGGGACCAGCCAGTGATCTTTTTTGTGGCTGCCCCTGAGGAGGGAAGTGGCCAGGCTTCCCCAAGAGAGGGGCTGGGCAGAGGAGAGGGCAGAATGGGATGGCCAGGGTGGCTGACTCAAGGGCAGCAGTGTGGGGCTGCAGTCCCCTCCTCCCCAACACAGCAAGTGCCTGCTTTGAGCCAGGTCACTCTCCAATGCTCGTTCACTACTAGGGTTTGGATCTGGCCAAGATGTATGTCCCTGGGCAAGGCACTTGACCTGTTTGAACCTCAGTCCTCTGATCTGCAAAATGAGGGAAACCAAGAGCTCCTGCCCTCTAGAGTTACCGGGGTAGTCTGTGAGCTCCTACAGATGAAGCCCTTGGTTAGTGCCTGCTCTCCAAGGCCTGTTAACCGAGCAGAAGCTATTACAACTTTTATACATGAATGGGTGGTTTGAGCAGATAGTAAAAGTTTGGAGGGGAGACGAGCAGGGGCTTGAAGGTCACAGCCCTCAGTTGATGGGGGATCTAGAGGTCAAAGCAGGGGGTTGACTTAGAAAACAGTTCCCAATCCAGGCTCAGCTGGCTTGTTGCCCTTGTCAGTTGAGCTGCTTAGCCCTAGTCAGCCATTCCACAGGGCAGGGGCCACCTCACCTTTCCCTGCTCAGCTGCTAGGCTGCATTGCTAACCAGATGTTCAATAGCTGCCACATTCCCCCTCAGCAGCAGCCCCACCTCTGGGGCTGGAGAGTGGTTCTGCATGGACTAGTCATGATCACAACATGTCAGGCATGTCAGCTATGAGATGTCAGGCCTGAGATGTATTACTGTGGATTGGAGAGGAAACCTGTTCTCCACCCACTGAGGATGCTGGGACTGGGCTTTGCTGAGCCCCACGGCTTAGGCAGATAAAGGCTGGATGCCAAGAGCAGACATCAGAATGCTATGTACCCCTGTTAGTCTGGAAGCTGGGTAGAACCCATCAGACCCTGCCCCAAAAGTCTCGAAGAATCCTCATCTCCTCAGCACCACCCAGACCAAACACCAATCAATCATCAGACTCACTGTACAGCAATAGCTTCCCTGTCCTCGCCACCCACTCCCCAATCTACCAAGTCACTCCCCAGGTCAATGATGTCCACCGTGTCAACCCTCTACTCCCTCCTGCCTGCTTTCCAGGTTCTCTGAACCCTCTCCTCCACCAGGATGGGGAGAGCACAACCTGTCTCTTATTATGTGGTTCTAGGCCCAGAAATTAAAAAAAAAAACAAAAAAAAAACCCATTGCCATGTAGTTAATTACAACTCATAGCAACCCTATAGGACAGAGTAGAACTGTCCTATAGGGTTTCCAAGCCTGTAATCTTTTTGTTGTTGTTGTTGCTGTTGCTGAAAACATATACAGCAAAACATACACCAATTTAAGTTTCTATATGTACAGTTCAGTGACACTGATTACATTCTTTGAGTTGTGCAAACATTCTCACCCTTCTTTTCTGTTTCTGCCCCAATGAAATAGACTCACTGCCCCCTAAGGTTCCTATCTAATCTTTCAAGTTGTTGTTGTCAATTTGATCCCATATGGATAGTTCTTAAAAGAGTATAATGCTCAAGGCAGACCTCTTTTTTTTTTTCTTTTTTTTACTAGTTAAGCTGAACTATTGTTTGGTTTTAAGAAGACCTCAGGGGATAATTTTGGTTTAAGGTAAAAAGATTATCTCAGGGCAATAGTTTCAGGGGTTTATCCAATCTTCACGGCCGCAGGAAGCCTGGAGTCCATGAGAAAGTGAAATTTTCTTCTTCATTTTCTCCTTTTTGATCAGGATTCTTCTATGGAATCTTGGATCAAAATGTTCACTAATGGTAGCCGGGCACCATCCAGTTCTTCTGGTCTCATGGCAAACAAGGCAGCTGTTCATGGAGGCAATTAGCCATACATTCCATATCCTCCTCCTATTCCTGACTCTCTTTCTTCCTCTGTTGCTCCAGTGAATAGAGACCACTTATGCCTTGGATGGCCACTTACAAGCTTTTAAGACCCTGAGGAACTACTCAATGAACTAGGAGGTAGAACAGAAGCACTAAACACCGAGGCTGTAGTCTTTACAGAAGCAGATGGCCACATCTTTCTCCTGCAGAGCGGCTGGTGGGTTCAAACCACTGAGCTTTCCGTTAGCAGCCAAGCGCTTAACCATTGTTGACCAGAGCTTCTTCCTAGCCCTAGAGATGAGCATTGTTCTGAATGGAAGGAACAGACCTGAACAAGGGGTCAAGTGGATCCCCTCTCCTGGGAAGCTGGAATCGGGATGGTGTTTCCAGCTTGTCTCTGTCAAGCACTTGGACTGATGATACATAAACCTGAGGGTCATGGTGGGGGGAGTCGCAGTGGAGGGCAGTAAGGGGTCCTCTGCACCAAGTGGAAGAAAGGCAAAGAGAGCTCCTCTGCGGAGAAAAATGAAGGAAGCAGAGGCAGAGACCTAAGGGAGGGGAAGGGAGGTCGCCTGTCCCTTGCAGCCATGGCCAGGCCGCCCAGGCAGTCTCTGAGGAGGCCTGGCAGCCTTTCTGCCCTAGGTTTCCAGGAGACCCTCCCGTGTCCTCCCAATGAACTCTTTTCTGCTTACACCACCTTGGGAGGGGTCTGGTCCTTGTGACTCCATACTCTCGCCCTGGCTTCTCAGTGTGACCCCGTGCTGCAGCAGGCTGGGCTCCCACCCTGCACACCCTGGTCTGCTGCCCACCTTCTTGCCTGGAATGTTTCCTTCCTCTGTCTCCCCACCCTTGGAGCCTGGCTAAAGCCCTCCTCCTCCTCCTCTATGTGGCCTTCCCTCTTTCCTCACTGGTGTCCTCCCTGGCCCCCACTGTGTCACTTGGTTGAGTTCACCGTTTTCTGTCTCAATGTCTCCAGGCTGAGGCTCCCCTTCTCCCCCTTCCCCTCGCCATAAACTCTCCTAGCCCCTAGACTTTGACTGATGAGCCCCCAGAGCAGAGAGGAGAAGACGACTGTGCTGTTGGTCATATGAACCCTGCAAAGCCCACCAGTGGGAAGAGTCACTGGCAAACCTGTGAACTGAGGGGGGGCACTGGGACATCCTCCATGTACTCCCTGGGCACTGGGTATGTGCTCACACTCAGGTGTGCTCCTGTGTGCGCCCTGCCCCGGGCTCTGTGTGGGTGGGGTGTAAGTATGCATCCTGGGTGGCGTTGTCTGCACCCACAGCCAGGACTTCAACCAGCATGGAAGGATCAAAGACACACGCCCAGCTCAGCAAAGAGGTCTTTTATTTCCATGTTAATCAGAAGAGCTCTGCACTGCCACCTGTCCCCTCTAGCCCCAGATGCACTTTGGGGAATGGGGTACACTTGTAAGTAGGATAGGAGGAGCCATGGAAGTGGGCTCCCAGCACCAAGACCAAGCAGCCTGGTGTCTGTTGGAAGACGGCCCTGGAAAGGGGGAGGAGGAAGTGCCAGGAGGAATTGCTGCGACTCCTGGCCAGAGGCGGGCACAGGGCTGGCCACTGGAGGATTCCCCAGGCAAGACAAACTAGAATATCAGCCAGGGCTCCCCACCCCTGGCAGCCTTCCTGGTAGCAGACTGTTGGGGAAGTATCATTCAAAGGCCAACCAGGGTCAGTGGGTGTGTGTGTGTGTGTGTGTGTATGTGTCACAAAGGGGTAGTCCTGGTAAACCTATCTGAGCCCCTCAGGCCCCTGTAGTCTCAACTCTTTGGACAGGCCCCAGGCTGAAAGGCCCAGGGCAGGGCAATTCCTTTGGTGAGCCTGGTCCAGTCCCAGGGTCCTGAG